TGAATTAAATTAATAGCCAATTGTTTTGCATTTTGCAGTGCTTCTGGTTTTGGATGCCTAAACAAATATTTATTAATTGTATCTTATCTGATTATAATTACTATATGACAAAAAATCTCAGGCTTACTCTATGTATAAATGAAGTGGTTCTGGAGATTCTGCTCCCAAAACTGGATCAATAAACTGAGATCCTCTACCTCTTAAGGTTACATTTGCGCCAGTTTCGCCTCTAATATAAATTAAATTTGCATCACCTATTCCTAGTATTCGCCCGCGTGAATCAAAACCTTGTGGTGCATTCTCGATACTAACGCAAATCTTTTCCTAATAAATTATACATATCAATCAATATTATATAAGAAACTTGTAATTATAAATGAGATATGAATGAAAGATATTTACAACACTGGTAACTCCAGAATGTAAGCTCATAAGAGGAGGCGGAGCATTTGTAAACCTGCTTGGTCTATTTAGCGAACTCTGATGTTCCGTTTTAATAATTTCATTGATTTTTTGTATTGCCACTGTTAAATAAAATATCTATTAAGTTCATGAATCAGTAATATTAAAGTATCAAAAAATAATACAATACATACAATCAACATTATGTTTTGTATGTCCTTGTATGTAAAGATATAATGGTCTCTCATTTGGGCAACGTAGCTTTTCTTGTTCCGTCATAAAACGTCCGCGTGTTGATACAGTTGCTCCTACAAGTTAATAAATAATATATGTAATATTAGTACATTCGTATAAAAAAAGTAATATAAAAACACAAGCTAAAAAGAAATTTTACCTGAATATGAATTAATTTCATCTTGTGTATAACCTTTAGTAAGTAAGGTCCTAGCGCTGGGTGGTGTCTCGTTAATCTCAAATTCTGATGTATATGTTTCTCCATTTTTAAATGCTGCATTTGATGATGTTAACTAATTACAAAAAATATACAGACGATATTAATTTTAAAAAATATAAAGTAACTCACTCATGTAAATTACATACCTTATTGTTGGAGTCAGAACCTCTTATTTTTCCCTTAGCCATAGAGATAAAATGTACACTACTGGAAACAATGTGGTAATTTTCATGATCCCAACATTTTCGTGGGCTGTGAATTTAAATTAAAAAGTAAGCTACTAGCTAACGAATCCAGAAGGAAAGAATGCAACAATTTACCTCAGCACGCGCCATAAAGTTCTGCCAAGCACCGAAGCTCATAAATCATTAGAGCAATAGGTTAAGCTTCAGCATAAAGGAGATTGACAATCTCACACCACAAACTCGCACTTTGTACGGTTATCTTAAATGCTTCAGGTGCATTTAAGTTCATTTAAGTCTTATATCGATCACGTATTTCTTACGTACCAGTAGTCAAATGTCGCTTGCGAAATATAATAAAAATTCACTCAACCATAACTTAATGCTCTTCTTACGTGAATAGGATAGAAACAGAGATAGAATGCAATAGAAAGTCTCAGACTGAGAGTGTAGACATGCCCGCGTTTTAAGTGATCCTTGTCAGCGCCTCTATGTGCATAAAACATGAACTACGTAGCCATATCCACGAATATTTCTGATGGGTAACACACTATATTCACGATCTTTTGATTGCTCGTTCCGTTGGACTAAACTTCGAAAAGTTCTCTACCATTTTGCGATCTGCGTTCGCGTTTGCATCTCTTGACCAATCAAAACGAAACTGTTGACCAACAAGTCCTTTCCGATTGGTCGAAAGACGCAATCTCCAATCGCTAGTGTGATAAGCTGGTTCAACATTGGCTGCGTTCAGCAGACTCAACAGTTTTGCAACCGTTTTATGATTGTCTGCTGAGATAGGACCATTCTTCTAGATCTAAAAGTATGATCCAATTAGCGCGAAGGAAACTTCCAACAGTTGCAAAACAAACGTTCTGCTGAACGCAGCCATCGATCGCATCGCAGCGTCGCAAGCGTGTCGCAAGCGTTGCAGTCCAATCAGAGTCGAGCTAGATTGATGTTGATTGGACTGCAACGCTTGCGACACTGCGATGCGACTAATGTAGAACTAGCTATACCGGCATTAGTCGCATCGCAGCGTTGCGGTCCAATCAACATCAATCTAGCTCAACTCTGATTGGATCACAACGCTTGCGACACTGCGACTAATGTAGAACCAGCTTAATGTAGAACCAGCTATACCGGCATTAGTCGCATCGCAGCGTTGCGGTCCAATCAACATCCATCTAGCTCAACTCTGATTGGATCACAACGCTTGCGACACTGCGACTAATGTAGAACCAGCTTAAGCTTGGGCGCGTGCGAGAGCATTTTGCAATTGTCACAATAAATTTCTTAACATATCGGCTTTGAATCATAGAGATATAAGAATAGAGCGCGTCAGCAGTAGGCTGACGCGTGAGTGGCTGCGATAGACGAATAGAAAGAGAACGATGCATAGTTTCCCTGTGTGTCTTTGTCTAATCTCGCGCACGCGCAGTATGACTTCGCGCTGGTTGGCCGGCCGTGGCCCCCGCGGAGCCGATGGATTTCAAACGCCGGCGGATGAGTTGTAATGCAAAGTAATTGATTTTGACATGAAAATGTATTAAAAACATTCGGATTTTTTGGCGAAGACAGCGGAAAACATGTTCCTTTCTAAAATCATGAAGAAAGAATATGGAAATGATGCGAAATATTTTGTTTATAAGCACGACAGTGTCCAAATTCATGTTTTGGACACTGTCGTGATAAGTACGCGTTACATATTTGATAGGACTGAAAATGTTAAAATGCAATGCTAGATTTATAAATAAACAATCCTCATGTATGATTTAATTAATTGTAATGAAAATAATGGTGTTAAAAAAGTAATATTGCAAATACAGAAGAAATGGTACCTTTAATATTCTTCTTTATCATGTATATGATGAAAATTATGATGAGAATATGTGTCATTAAGCAAGAATTATGGTAAATAAAGTAAAAAATAAAGAAATTATAGTTAAAATAGAAAAGTATCATTGAAACTACAGATATCAATTTTTATACAATTAATTACAATGTTTATTAAGGTTAGGTTTGTATGTTTGTTATGTATACGTACAATATGTGTGTACTTACTTATGAAAACTGCGATCAGAAAATCGGTTTGATTCTTTTTTGCACACGATACACTTTACAGTCATTTTTTAAAAAAACTGTACACAAAAACATTTGTAAAATCGAAAGCGGTTAATTCCGGCATATTCACTACCATGCTTGTAAGTAAACATGGATGGGCTGCGCGCATGCGTCATTAAACAAGAATGGCACGAGTAACTATGCAGCGTTCTCTTTCTATCCCGCTAACGCCTGTACCACAGTACCTGTACCTACGGCTTTTGCCCTCTATTCTTATATCTCTATGCTTTGAATCGTGAAAGCTCTGTTTTTTTTTTTGCACGTGACGATACAAAGCAGAGTTCTTATTGGATATTAATTTGATAGATTTTAGTTATTTCAGCGATTTAGGTCCTGCGCACAATGGAGGAAATATTAGGAATAGGAATAAATATTGAGATTTCAACCTATCAGAAACCGTGTATTCTAATGTAACTGGTATCTGATAGGTTGGATCTTAATATTTATTCCTAATATTTGTTCTATTGTGAACAGGCCCTTATGTTATGTAGCTTACATCCACTTCTCCACTTCTTCATAGTGCGGCGACTTTAGTATGCTTTAGTGCGGTGGCATTGTGCGATTACAGAAAAAAGATCCTCACGGCCTCTCTCAGGTTTCTCTCTGGTTCCGTATTATTATCTTCATAAAACAACTTAATTTAATCTTTTTTTGTAATCTTTATTTGTAACATCAATTTGACTTAATAACATATAATGGTAAATTAAAACCATGTTTCTGATATCATTTTATCGATAATAGAAGATAATTTTGAAAAGTATTTAATATTTTTATGTTTTTTAATAGACGCTATATTTAAAAAAAAAACAAGACTTGGGTGGCGATATTAATGTTACAAAAAAATATTTTGCGGAATAAATTTATTTAATTGTTTAACATTACATGTACATCTTCTCTATTTCTATAATGAAATATAATCACAAATAAATTGTATATATGCACTACTATGAAGAAAAAAACAATATCAGACTTACATCTATAAAGTATGCTTATCTCTAAAAATGCTAAGGATAACAATGTTATCTCATTAGCTAGCACCATTCATTATTTATTAATAGAAGTCCCACTTCAAATGTCTTTTCTTGAATCGTTAAGGAAATACATTAAATTTTATTAATACTTAAATAAATCGTCGAATAATTAGAAAAAAAGTATTTTATTAAAAAAAACATTAAAAAATGGTGTTTTATATTACTTTCGTTTGACTATTTTTCGTACTTAGTTACAATAACAAGATTATATCAGGTTCTACATTGCTTTGCGCACTGTGACTACCAAAATACTAATTTTTACTAAAAAATATTCCACATGCTTTACAGGCATTTTATTGCATTAATTATTTTTGTTTTGAGAAGTGCTATATATTTAACTACTCACACAATTTCAAATTATATTGATACATATTCCAAAAAAGCAACGTTTAGACGAAATCAAGAGTGTGCACTTGATCAATCTCTTTCTCTCTTGTACTTATTTTTGTGAACTCTTTTTTTTAACATTGTTATACACAACTATATTTTTGGTTTACACGGATCTCAATTAAAAAACGATAGAAAAATAAATATACATCTCCAATTTTAAATATCAATCTTACTTGTATAATTAATATAATTAACATATCAACTACAGACGATATATTCAAACAATTTTAATATTTAAATCTGAAAGACAATTAATATACTCCGTAATTTGCTAAAAAATCAAAATGTATATGATAGCATTGTTGATGTAAATATTATTATAAAATTTGTGTAACTTTAAGTATTGAATTTTTATCAAAATTTCATTATTCAACAAAACCAAAAAGCATTATCTGTAAAATTATAAAAAAATCTTGGGTTAACTCCTTTGGCATGCCCATAGATCACTTAAATCAAATCACTGCTTTAAATCACAAGATATATAATTGACAAAATCCAGCATACTTTTTACATAATTTATATAATTTATCTGATATTCAGTCAAGAAAGTATCAGGAATGTCATACGCAAATGATATTACGTGTAAAAAATAAGCTCGGGTATTTGACCTTCATCAGTAGATGTGCCATTATTATCTCCCAACTCACTGCTAAATTTGAATTTCACTTTTCCACTTCCTGAATCACAATCCACCATCACCGTTTTCATACCTTTTGTGCCATAATAAGAATATGGCCCCTGAAAAATAAAAATTAATATTGTTTACAATCCCATATCATATGTAAAAATAATTAATTAAATAATAAATAATAAATCAATAAGAGGTACAACATAACAACCTTGAAAGTTGCTGATGCCGTATAAATTGTATTTGGTAAGATTTCCGCTAATTCTTTAAACATTAGACGGTATGTGTACTTTGATCCATCACAGCTGAAACTTGTTGCATTTGTAGCTATCACTTTTCCTGACGCAGTGTGAATTAATTCGACTGTTACTTCATATATCGCTGGTTCTTGCGTGCTGCCATAAACTCCATACCCAATCAGAAAGATACGTCTATCTACACTAAATCTGTGTAAAAATTAAAATATTTTATAATATTGAGTATTTGAAATTTCTATCGTTAATTATATGCACAAAATACAAATTATAATTTTTTACCGAATACGATCGCTAGTTCCAAAATATCCCCATCTACTCTTTGTATGTTGAAATCTGCATACAGTTTGTTCCTTGCCTGTCATACAACATCGCGGCATCGTTTGAAACCCCACCGAAGGTTTAGGATTTAATATGAAATATGAGAATAAAGATAAGACCTATAAAATTTAATCGTAAAGTTTCAGAGTGTAAACTATTTAGCTTAAATGTAACAATTAGCATAATATGAGATATGTATCGAAAGAATATATATAATACTATATATATATATATAATAACTTAATCCTGACCTATATCCAGACTGCGCTGGACCCGCAGTAAATTCCTCTTTTGACATAAGGGGAAAACGAACTAAAGACAAAGCATCGCCCAAAACCAGACGTTGATTTTCTGGAGTGACTGGTAATTGCTGCCGTACACATTCAGCTTCTGACCACCTATAATTCGAAAAGATATCAAATATATAATATTATACAGAATAAACGACACATTCAACAACGTTGCAACATACCTTAGAACAGCTTGAAACAATTTGGATTCCCTAACACGAAGAGTATCTCTTTCTAAGACTATCATCAATGTATCAATATCAATATCTGTGAAACCATCTGCAGTAAAGGCATCAGTTGTGAATCTGTCTATGGTGTCCAAACATACCGAGGCTAATTGTGGTTCATCAAACAGACGAGCTTGCGTCAGCAGCAAGAAAGCGTTATCACTCGTCAAGTTATTTTTTAAAAAATCAACGCAATGCTTTTCTAAAGCAGCCACCGCATATTTCTTAGCAGTATATAGCGTCGTCATCACAGTTTCAGGATCTATCTGTATTTCATCAGTGTATAGAAAAAGGAGCACTGCCAAAAATGCAGCAGGCTCTACATCAGGTACTTCTATTTCCGAAGAAGCTGTTGCAAGCGTTCCATTAAACATTGCATCAAATACAGCACTTCCACAGGACAGGACTAGTTTGTGAGCTGGTATGCGTTGTTGCTGCGCTCCTCTTCCAACCAGAAAAGTCACGTCTGACAGTATTTCATTGTTAAAGAGGAATACAATTCTTTCGCGCATTGTTGCCTTTGTACCTTGCCAATTGTACATAACTACAGGTTGATTCTGCGTAGTAGAATTTTCCAAAGTAGCATTATTCTGTGTTCGTCCTTCCAAATACGATATATTGGCCGCATTAGTAGGTGGTCGACTAAAAATATCAAAAGTATATGACTATATTAAGTAACAATCCTATTGCAACAAATACTACAAGTTAATATTCCAAGAAATTTAAATAAATAATGGATGCTTTTTATCTGGTGACATAAGTATTGTTCTATTTTTACTCATTGGAATGCTAAGAAAGATAGAACTGGTGCTTTTCATTTAGTGATATAAATCGATACAAACATCATTCTATCTTTCTTGATATTTAATGAGTAACAAAGACAAACCATTTTGATAGTTGACGTAGAAAATAACTTACTTATCGCCATTAAAGAACGAAGCCTCGCTTCGCACGATGGACGAACTCAGCGGTTGGTCCTCGTCGCCAACGAAATTAAGAGCACGTCGTGCCCGCGAAAGGGTGATGTTCCGCAACGGCTCCCGCAATGACGACGGCCCGCTGCCGTCGGCCGCACTACCGCTGGACACCGTCGAACTGCCGGGCGTTGAACAGCCAGCCGTCGCATTCTCGGATGGGTCGTCCTCGGCGTGTGCCACTCGCAGGCCCTGCAGCCTTGACGCGACGTTCGACACGTCGTTCAGGGCGGTCTCCGTAGACATGTTCGCACACCAGACGTGATACTTGTCCAAGTACTGCCCCGTCTCATTTAATCGCGACGCCTCGCGCCAACGCGAGCGGCGACGAGTGCTTCGACAGACGCGGTTTCAAGTTTCACCTTATATTCCGACTTATTCAGCCTTATTTACGAAACCGCGATCGTGATCCTCTTTAAGCAGTCTGAAGGTGCCGGGTTCTCACCGAGGTACGTAAAGACGCCGAAGAACGTACACACGACACACGCAACAGCACAGAACACAGTATTGCCGCTGCCCCAAAAAATTATTCACCAGATTTCTGTCTAAAAAGTCACCAGATTTGTTAAGGCCATCACACGTACAAAAATTTTAGTCGGAATCGTAAGGCCGTAAGCAAATCGGCCAATCACAATCGAGCGTTTTAAAACGCGAGATCGTAATTTTGATTGTGATTGGTCGATTTGCTTGCGACCTTAAGATTACGACTAAAATTTTTGTACGTGTGATGGCCTTTAATGCGGGGTTTACAATAGAAGTCGTAGCAGTCGTAAGGTCTTAAATCGTAGAAAATTGACCAATCACGGTCGAATATGAGAAGAATAATCAACTGTGATTGGTCAATTTTCTATGACTTAAGACCCTACGATTTCTATTGTAGATAGAACCCCGCATCACCAAGCTCAGTTAATTTAACTGGCCAGTTAGTCCATCGGAATTAACCAATCGCATTTGTCATTTTGTTTGAGTTTGGTGACAGTGGCCCTTATATAATAAAAAAATCATGAATTTAAATTTAATAATATATTTATCCAAATATTTATGTTAATAATCGCAAATTTTTATTAATTGTCTATAATGTCTTCTTCAATCATCCCCAGGCTCCATTGATAGTCACAAAAAATTAACCTTTAATAGTATCTCGTCGGTAATATTGTTATGTAGTTTACATCCACTTCTTCAGAGGGCAGTAGTGCGTGGAGGCATTTTGCGATTACTGGAAAAGGCTCTTTGTTCTCTCTCAGGTTTCTCTCTGGCGTTACATAAAGAAGGCCGGGATAGTCGCTCTCAGATCTCTCTTTGCTTTTACAACGATTAAACCATTGAACAACGGCTTTAATACGCATTAATGCGCACTACTGCATCCAACCGAATTCTCGCTATCTGTTCTCACTTTACACCGAGTGCGTTAAAGTTCAACTGGTACAAGTTACCACGGTAGCCAATCAGCGCGCTGCCCTCGCGATACTTCGAAAATCGCAAATCGCTTCTCGAAAGTGACAGTAATGGAAGGACATCGCGGCGAGTCGTGAAATCACGTTCAATCTTCCGCATTTCTCACGGTCGTTACTATTCAAAAGTGACTCTCGCGCGCGAGGAATAAGCAGAAATATCTTGTAAAGTGTCGGTCATGACGCGAATGTTGTGATATAATCGTTTTGAATACATATACGAATATGGCGAGTCCATCGAATGTGCCCAAATTCTACAAGGATATCCATTCAGTAGTTTTGACACTTTTGAATTACCAGATTGAACTCGATTTGAAAACTCTTGCAACATAGAAGTTCTAGACTCACGCCTAATTAAGAATTCGTCGCTAAATATTGTTTTTTCTTCGTCAGTGACGCAAATATGCGATAGATTCGCCAAGTGAACTTCGTACGAGTGTAGCGTTACTAGCCGCAGGATGGCACAGCCGCATAGCAAGTTCGAGGTATGACAACTAGTTAATAAAACTTTTGCCCGTATTCATAGTCGGGCCTTATATTTAAGGCTTCCTTAAATTTATCTTCAAATACTCTACGAATTATTTCATTGGTTACTGAGTATCTAAAGATAAATTTAAGGAAGCCTTAAGTACAAGGTTTGACTATGACTACGGGCATTTGTTTTAATATTATTATTAATATGTCATAATTGTCATAACTGTTTAAATAGTAATAAATTAATAATGGTATAGACCACACACATAGTTTTTTAAATGATGTCCTAAAACATCTTTAGGACATTAAACATCCTTAGGACATATCTAGAGTAACTGCTTTATAGAACAGAAACGTTAAATTTCTGTATAATAGTTAATGTAAATGACTATATTTAAAAAATTATATTCATGAGTGAGTCAATTAAAATATGATACAGTAATTATATACACACAAATAGTGATCGTAATAATTGTTATTTTGTTGATTAGGAACGCATTCGTGTAATTAATATAATTAATATATAATTAAAATATCTATATTTAATGTTATATAGTTATAAGATTATGCATGAGATTTAATTGAAACATGCAATAAAATAATAGTTCTGTCGATTAAAAACACAGAATTAATACGATTAATATTGCTTATAACAATCTTAATTATCATGTTCGAATTACTTCAAACACTGAGAACATTCTGGAAAAAAAATGAGTACTAAGAATTTCATGAAAAATATTAATGATAGAGTTTAATAATTAAAAATCTATGTTATTTGATTTAGAAATTGCGTCAATAGTGAGTGTAAGGCGCGCGTCTATTACGCTTAAAACTCTGCGATTGTGGTCACTTTATTTCTGGATTGTGGCCACTCGAATAACACCCACAGTTCTGGAGATAAGAAGAAATGCTTGAAATAAAAATTGTTTGGTATCGAGAGGGACATCATATGATGATGAACATTGTTTTTTATTTCAATTTTTATTTCAAGCATTTCTTCCTATCTCCAAAACTGTGGGTGTTATTCGAATGGCAAATGTTCAGCGACTCACCCTGTATATGTATTTCATTTCTATTCGAAAGGAAATATACAGAGTGTCCCTTTTTGACACACCGCTTGTGCAGGTAGACTAAGCGTGGAAAAGTTCTCTACCATTTTGCATTTTTCGCAATTTTTTTGTTACCCAATGAGCAGACTATCTAAAATCGACACATAAAACAGCTTTCAGAGTTCTTTAAGAAATATCTTTGAGATATTTCATTAAAGATATCTTAAAGTTGTTTTATGTGTCGATTTTAGATAGTCTGCTCATTGGGTAACAAAAAAATTGCGAAAAATGCAAAATGGTAGAGAACTTTTCCACGCTTAGTCTACCTGCACAAGCGGTGTGTCAAAGGGACATTCTGTATATGTACTGTGGAAAAAAGATACAGTATTGAATCAGATTTTATAACAAGTGTATTAATGACGTTTATGTACAATGTTTACACGGCGATACAGAAAACATGTCCGCATGTTTACGAAGGTGTTATGTATGATACAACAGTAGTATATATAGGCCGATTTTGGACCACAGATATATACACCTGGCTGCCACCAGGCGGCGCTGGCGTCGCGATCGCGAGAGGAACTTGATGGGGGGAGGGGGGATAGGGTAAGGGAGCGCGTAGAGAAAAAAAATAAAATGCAAAAAGTGCTTACACCCATCCCCCGCTACCTCCTCCGCAGCCTCCACCTCCGCCGCTCCTCCTCCTCCTCCTCCTCCTCATTCCACCATTATTCTTCATCATGTAATGCCTATGCCAAGAAGGTGCATTGAAAAAAAATATAGTCAATTTTAATAAATATTTAGTTCAATACTGCCAACTAAACATTTACTTACAGTAAGTAAATATTTGTTCACTAAAAAGATTCATTCCTAAAAAGATATCACCTTCCTCGCAGAGGTACTACATGATGAAGAATAGAGATGGAATGAGGAAGAGGAGGAATGGCGGAGGTGATGGCTGCGGAGGAGATAGCACCTCTGTGAAGTTGGCACCTCATTTTACAAAAAATGAAATTTTGGTCACAGTTCCGAATGCACCCCGAAGAGTTCTGGAGTTCCTGCCTAACATTAAGAATAGTTCCGGCGAATTAACATAAAAAAATAAAAAAAAAAGG